TCTCCGAGAGCGACAGGGTGAGCGCAGCACACAGGCAACACAGCAAAAGCAAACATGCACTCAGTGGGGTCGCGCTTGGTGATGCAAGCGTCCAAAACAGAAAAATGTAGAGTTTGCGCCACATCAGTGATTTTGTTGTTGGCATGTCTGGAAATGTGCATAATGAAGGCCGCATAATGAGAGAATTTAAAAATTTTATGAATGGAAATTCGCGCATTTTACAAACCTGCCCAACAGTTAAATAGATTCTATTTCCACGAATATTCGAACTCTTGTCTGAGTGGCGCACCGCGGGGAACGCGATTTTGACCTCGCCATCAGACGCATCTGCAATCGAAGTTGCCCTCTGCGTGTGTGCGCAGGCCAGCGCCCTGAATCGGTGTTTGTCCGATAGCTATCATTGTCGAATGGGAGGACCATGAAGGGGGCATGGAGGATTGGCGTTCACGAGGGCCCTACAAACCTAAAATCAAAGAACCTGAACCCGAAGAGAACTTCACTGACCTGGTGGATATGTTAGAACACGACGGCAACCGTCGTGCGCTCGCCTAACTGTTAGGCAAACCCGCAACATTCGATGAGACTTGGGGTGCCACATTCGCGGTGTCGTTTACAAGGCTGTCAAAAGAGCAAGTGGAATCGCCCGCGCCGGCACCGCATGAGCTAAGCCCCCACCCACCCACCCCCACCCACACCAGAAAGGCAACGAAAAAGATTATTGAGAGAGATGGGCCCCGCTAGAGCTGGATTCGGGATCGAAAAGTCTCTCGAAAGGTGCCTGTTCAAGGCGTACCATGCAAGCCGCCGGTAGTTCGCTCGCCGAGGGCCCAAACTCGCAGACGTAGGCTGTAGCTTCGGGACACTTCCTGCCGCCGACGTTGCGGCTGGTCCCTCGCGCGTCAATGAAACCGCCCACGCAACTGAGGTCCCTCCGCGGGGGTGTCGCCCACAGCCTGCCTGTCGCAGCCGCCGCGTCCACCTGAAGGCATCGTCTCAGAATTCAATTTCAAGGAAACAACAATGCAATATGGCGTCCCCAAACCCAAAAACCAAACAAAAGTTTAAACCACACCAATCCCAATCCCTGAAAATTGTGCTAAATATTTTGGTATCGCCATGATGTCGCAACGCTCATTTGATGTGCAGCGAAAGGCACTAGGGAACTGGTGTGCTTCTTCTGGTGCACGAACGACGGGGGCAAAAGCCCGTCTGCGGCAAGATCTGCCACCACGCGCTGCCGGCAGGAAGCGCGCGCGTTGGTGCGTGGGAGATTGGGCGGCGGAAGCACATCATTACGTATCATGACGCAGTCAACGATCGTGGTGGAAGACAGCAGCGCAGTGGAGAATATTCACCTGGCGCATCGACCCGACCCACTGCCACCCCGCGCTCTCTGCCGAAGGCCGGAGGCCAATCCACGCCCCGTCGGGGGGCACGATCGAAGCCAGAAAGTGCTGCTGGTCTCCTTCGCCTTCCCCTTCGTCACTGAGCTCTACAAGCCGACCGCCAATTGCGGTGCAGCTCTGCGCCGCACTCAAGAAGCCCTTGGGCTCCGCCCTCAGGAGGTAGTGCCGCCCCTTGAATCTGTAGCACATGTCAGTCTCTGCCATGGAGGCGTTCCAGAGGCGGTGGGGGCACTCCGTTGCCGCTCCCCTGATGGTCTGCGGGGCAGGGGGAACGCTGTTGGAGAATGCCGTGCACAGTCCAGACATCGCTGTGCTTGAATCGGAATCGGCTTTCCACCGTAGACCGCGACGTGCCCGTGTCAGTCGATGTACCCATTTAATTTATTCAAGTTGTACTACCGCATGAGTTGAAAAATGACTTCAAGATATCGAATATAAAACTAAATATAAACTATTATAAAACTAAATATAAATTTCTCAAAAAAGCCGATGACAACGCACAATCGTAAACGTATGGCACTGGATAAAACCGACCGAGCGAAAGCGGTTGCCATGGGGGGTCACAGGAAACGTAAATTGCAGGAAAGCAGAATCCAGAACTCTATATATGAACTGAGTTTAGTCGATCCTATTGTACGCATGCTACAGTACTTATGCGTGAATTGTACCTGTATTTCACTGCCCAAGCGCGAAAATGCGTGCAAGGTGCGTTTCAAGTGGTAAAAAAGAATTGAAATGATATAACTTATGAACGACATAAATGTATTTATTCGTTGCATTACCCGGTTGATAATAAGCAAGCGCAACAGCCCACAAGCGGGCTCAGGTATTGCAATGTACGGGTATCACTAGAAAAAATGGGCGCCCAAGCAGATGGTGAGCACAGCCACTTACATCTACGTTTCTGCAGTACTATTGTTATCTGCAATGTGTTGCAAGCGGATATATCGAAAGCAGTCGTGCGGCTTGGCGTGACGATGTCTTGTCCACTTTCACCGTTGCTCACGCCAACAACATGTGCCATTTGCGCATCGCGATCCTATCGAAACTGAGCTCCGCAAATTTCCAATATTCTGCCAAAGCGCCGTGCAAAGCGATGGCTCCCCTTGCCGGGCATCCTGCCTCTGCCGCACCTGCATCTTGCAGTGGGCGTACTTGTAGTCCTCGTTGCACCTCCTGAAGGAGCCAAGGCTCTCCCTGATCATGGTCTCCACCATCTGCTGCGTCAGCCCAGCTTCGAGCAGCGAATCCAACGTGATGTCCTTGGCAACGATCCCCAGCAGCAACCTGCCCACCGTGGAGTTTCTCTCCGCGCACCTGAATGGAGGAATCAACTGTGCAAAATGGCGAAGAACCGCAAGGACAAATACGGGTATGCGATTACATAATATTATGGGGGGGAAACTATGGCAGCGACAGTAAATTATTCTAAACTGCGAATATGCGACTGCACGACTGCTAAGGTCAGTTCCTTGCCAGTCGAACAGAGCGCGATGATCAGCAGGTCCATGGTGACAGCTAGCTTAAGGACTTAGCTGCATTCAATGGCGCTATGCTGGTTCACGGCGAGCTGCTGCTAGCACATGCGTTTAATGGTTTCGACCTGATGCGCAGGAAAGCCGGATTGGAGACGACGATCATCTGAACGCAGCCAATAAAAAGTGCACTCTTACGCGTGATCCCTAGAAGCGGTGTGCTCTTTAAGCACAAATGCCAAGCCGTGTGAAGCATACAATGGCATAAGTGGCAACAGAGAACTGCATGAGTGCTTGCGGTGAAATAGAGTCATAAAATTCTCGCCGGTGAGAAGGGAATCACTCTAAAAATAGCAATTACCTTAGTTTCCATTCGAAATTCATATGAATAACATGCAAATTATTAAAATTGCCGACCAAATGGCCACCAGTGATTCATTGCAGGCAATCACGCCCAGAGTGCACGGCGGTCGGCTCTGATACTTTCGCCATTGCTTGACGCCGATAGACAAATGCTCGAGGAACAAAACCCCTTTGACATGCGGCACCAAAATTTTGCAACGCCAACTAATTTGAAAAGGCGCGGTCCATAGGGTCGCACACTTCTACCCACAAATTAGCTTGCAGGAAATCGCACTTTATCGTATCCTCTGTCTTTATCGTTATCTAATCGCACCTGGGGTTCACGAAGATCGGCTGCGATACGGTTGTCATGATCCCCAGACCGCTGGCGTCCTCGTAAAGGGGCGAGAACAATACCGGCTCGTTTGCACCCCCCAGGTGGCGCTCCACCGCAAGCGCCAGGTATTGAAAATAACCCTCCATGTTGTTCAGGGGCTCGCCGCGGCCTTCGCACAGGACAGGGAAAGGGCAACCAGTGCTTGAGCGCCATATTGGCCAAGGTGAATGGCAGATTATGATATATTGTTATATATTATTATATTATTATATGTTATATAATGGCATATTAATTAAGGCACTGGTCAATGTACCGTAATGTGCTGAGCCCTTCTGCATCAAACAAGTTTACCGTTACGCGTTTTGCTCCACATTTTTTTCACAGCGTTGTTTTCATTCTTGACGTTGCTCCTCAAAAATTTCATTTAAAAAGTGTCACTTGTTTTGTTGTTTTCTCCGACAAAACACCAAGCTTTACGTTATTATGCGAAAGGGTTGAATATACTACGGTGCTCGAGCCTCATATTGGGATCGAGAAACGGCAGATGAGCGAAGGCACTGGTCAGTGTACGAAGAGCACTGTAGAACCCTGCCGCCATTGCGACCCTCATCACCCTGCGCTCGCTAATAGATTCACACTATTTAGTCAACACGTACTCCACATTTCCAAGCTAACATTTGCAGTCGTTTTCAACCGCCGCTTTCAACTGTTGTCTGCCGCTTTCGCGTGCACGCGCGCACCCACCATCGAGCGTGAACCACGTCCCCCCATTTGCGCACGCCATTTGCCGCGCCAGGCTGTCGTCCGCGTTCTCCACGGTGCACGTGAAGATGGCGGCGCGGCTGGAGTCCTGCTCCAGCCTCTCCTGCCGCTCGCGCACGGCCTCCAGGTTCTTGAAGACCCCGTCCGGGAGGCGGCCGCTGGAAGACTCTCCCAGGGAGCAGGACCCCTGGGGCCTCGTGCTGGTGGTGCAGTCGCTGCCGTCCCCGATGTGAATGATGATCTGGACAACCGAGCCGGGAGCGAAATTAGTCCCTCTGCCCCTTTTTTGAGACTGCCGATCCTCGTTCCGGAGACCTTAATTTCCAAAACCACTGACCCGCTGACCAGCGTTGGCTTTGTCGGCAGGAGAGGAAGGCATCCTCGCGGAAGAGATGTGGGGGCTGATGTGTTGTCGTCGGGCCCCGAGGAACCGACACCTCTCAGTGGGATCGCAAGCCCGCGCAGCTAAAACAGAATTACTAAAACTAAATTTCGATGCACTAAAATTAGAGGTTGCTGTTGACGGGCGATTTGATCCATTCCCTACGAGGTTGGCACCGCGGACGCGCGATTTACCGAAACTGTGCCAGGTGCGTTGCATCGCGCGGAAGCGAGGATGTTGCTGAATGAGGATGTTGAGGCACAAGAGCTGTCCGAAGCGCGCATAAGTTGCATGGAAGGGAGCACTGCCAGTCAGCGAGGTCGGCTTACGTTCTGGCAGCTGTCGTCGATGCCCGCCCTCGAGATGGAGCCGTCGAGCAGATCAAAGGCTAAGTCGAAGGCTTTCTTGTTGTCCGCGCCGGCCGCCAGGGTCACGTTTTCCAGCTTCCCCGCCAGGCTGTCGATGTTGTCCACGTCAGCAATGACGAGGCCACCGTCCATCAGGGGCTTGGCGTCGGCGCTGAAGGTGACGACGTTGACGTAATCGCTGGCGTGGTCGAGGGTGTTGAGGATGCCCCGGATGGCGTCGAGCGCCACCCGCCACCTGGATTTGCCGACGCTGCCGGCGCCCATGTGGAACGGAAGGCGCATGGAGTCTGGAGAGGCAAGCTCACCCGGTCGGCTGTGAGGCAATTGTAAACTTCTATTGGTGTTTCTAGTAAGTTAGAGCTCATGTACATGAATGCATTATCGTTTATCATATCGTATGTCGAGTCGATGCACTCAGAATCGCAACACGCCTGATTCCATAATCAAAACAGAGTTTCCACAGTTTGTTGGTTCACTTTCTCACATGGCAACATTGTCACAAGTGGAGCGATTTCAGATGCGTTGATACTGGAAATTGTAAACGATTATGTAGCAATTCACGCAATTTGGTGGCTACGTTCAAAACTGGAAAACTGCTGAAATGGCTTGTAATTGGAGTGTTGTCTTACCTGAAGCTTGAACGATAATAACCACCTTCTTGGGCTCCGAAGTTGCCGATTTGAACCACGGACGGTCTCTCTGCATTACACGCGTGCGTTGTATCAGCATTAGATTGCAACACTTTTATTTAGAGTGGAAACATACTATTATGCTGTTATATTTTGCAGTGCTACACTGCACACCCTGCAGACAACCCCCCTCAGGGATGGGACCAATCCGGTTATCCTGGCCGCGTATTCAGATTCACTCGTCACGCCGAACTGCATTGAAATCTTTCTCACGGGAGCTCTTTCCAGCGTCCATGCGCAGAGTGCGAGGGCCCAATTGAGGCTGGAGGCACATCCGCGATTGCATTGTCGAGCCGCGGAAAGTACATCACAGATATGGAAAGAGTGTGGAGAAGGTAAGGGTGTAAAAATTGGGTCTGAATCATGACCAAGACATAAAACTTTTGTGGTGGCTAGGCCGTCAAGATTTGATTTTCGTAATTGCTAAGCAACTAGAAGACGCTCCCCGGGACACAGCAAGGCAAAGACATCCCAGGTGGCTGCAAATGTTCTCAACGTAGTCTTGTCGAATCGGGGATCGTTCTCCAATATTTACGCCATTCTCTTTTCTTCAAAGCTGCAATTAAAATTGTGAAGCAGGAAGCCATGTTATGTGAAGCTATGAACATGCAACACAGGAACCAATTTGAATGGCGCGTTTCACACACATCGAATCTAGTGTGACCTCACCGGGTCGTAGTGGACGCACTGTCCATTCGGTTCCCTCTCACGGGGCTTCAATGGCCAGGTCCTGGAAGATGCAAGTAGTTGTTTAGTTTCCAACTGAACTACAACTAAAGAGAAGAGAGGAAAAGACCGCGGCAAGTAAGCAACTACTTGCAGAAGTGCAAAAGGTACAAGTGTGCATGCCTTGACCAACATATGTCCATGGCAATTGATCTTCAATACATAAGCGGGCGGAAAGCACAGATGGTTAAATACTTATTAATCGCCGTGGCGCCAATACCAACGCTCTACGATTCTCTCGAGAAAAGCAGAAACAATAAGAGTAGCCCAAGACTTGGTAATGAGCATTATGAGTTACCCGGAAATGGATGGGAAATGTTGGCAAGTGTGGGAGTGGGGCGTGGGGCGGTTGAGTGGTTGGGGCTGCGTGGACAACTGACTCTGTCGCCGCATCTGCAGGTGCCACCCTTCGGTGGCGGCGGTGCAAAATGCACCAGGTGCCAGGGTACCGGCAGTCGCACACCCCAAGCACATGAAAATTGGGGGACATTGGCGGAGGTTGGGATTCTTGACAGTATTTACGCCTCTCATCCACTTGGGCCGCAGGCGCGTTCTTTGGTGTGTGCAATTTTCTAACTCTGTGAGTGGTTCATGGCAGCAACAGGGACACACATTCTATGATACCGAAAAATACCACTGGGCGGTTGACTCCGTGTGGTGGACATCACGACACGATTGTCACCATGGGCAGCGGCTTCTGGCTCCAGGGGCTCGACGGAATCCTATCCGAGTGATATCAATCAACCGTCACTGTCTTATTTACTTGTGTTTATTATTGGCTAATCATTCGTATTAATTACTTGAATATTACTAATCACACTTATCGGTTTGCTGTTAGTAATCATTTACTGATAATCACACTCATTAGTCTCGATTCTTATGATTACTGAGTACATTCTTCGACAGTATTTAAAAGTATTTCATATGTTAGTCGTTAAATTTATGCGACCTCCTGAAAAGCTCACAAAGCGCATTGCATTCAATCGCCTTTTGACAAAATGGGTGGCGCTAACTGCTATGAGTACGAATTGGCACTTAGGCCTGAAATCGAGTACTGCTGGCTAATCACTGTTGCCCCTGAATGCCGATCATGAAGGATCAAATAATGTACTACTCTGATGCTTTGTTCCGTGCTTTCGGAACAGCCATTGAATTCATGCGCTGCCATGTACACGGGGGCGGCACATATGTGGCGTAACATATCACGCTGCTGTCGTGTGGTTGCTGTGTCCCTCACACATTCCTGGCGCATTCCTGAAGAATTGGCACAGTTGCAACGCATTGACTCAATGGGCTCCCTAAAAGCTTGGAACGGCAGAGACGGCGCTTTCTACCCGCGGTCATGCAGACCAAGCGCCTTCACTCGCCTCATCACTCCTGAGCGGGCCATCGCCACATATATCCACGGCTCGAACCCCGCAGTGAAGTTGGCCGCCTTCTTGAACGTCTCTTCCAAGCCCTGGCACACCAGACGCTTCCATCTCCTCAGATTACATCAAGGCATCTATTTTGCACATTGTGTGCGAAGTGTTGAAACCAGCATTCCGAGGCTCACTTTGGGATTAGCGTTGCCCACGGATGAGCTCAGGGGCGACACAAGACGTGATCGCACGGCGACCTCGCCAGTTCCGTGTCCTCCTTTTTGGAGCCAAATACACGCCCTTTTGCAGAAATTGTACATTCTCAGCTTTTTCTACTTAAATTTGTCATTTTCAATAAGCGTCCCTGTGCAGAGTTCTAAAATTCGATCGCCATTCCGCAAACACACTCGCATCCAATATGCAGGCCATGTACCATGAGCAGCAAATCACTTCTGGGCGCAGGCGCATAGACAAAAGTGTGAGCACGCAATGGCACGCATAAATGGGGAGTGCACGTAAGAGGGTTAGTAAACTGAGAGCGTGAAGCAAAGCCTCTCGACTCTTTTTGCAAATACGTGTAGGCTGCAGCCAGATGACTGGTCTGAGCCTATGTGTCACGTTTTTGAGGCACTTGGCTCACCTGCGTCAGACAGATGTCCTTCAGAACGTCCGGGCTGAGACTGGGGTCCTCAGTGATGAGGCCGGGGGGTGTCCGCACACCGGACAATTCTGGATTCACCTGAATGATGGCCAAGGAGAGGCACAATTAGGTTCTCTGTAATGACAATAGCATACGAGGCTCATTTAAAGGTGTGGGGTGGAGTGGAGGCTAGCTGATCCATAGAATTTTGGCGATCTGTCCAAGGGCCGTTCATTGGGCCGAGCCAGCCCATCCCCTCTATTCCGACGAGCAAAGTTGACGTCACCTTTACGTCACCATTCTGCATTCAGAGGGTGCCCTGATGCGGCGCAAAACTCTCTGCCACCTCTTGGGACAAAGGGCCACTCCATAGCCGCGAAACGAGGGCGGGGCCGCTCCCCAACCCCTTTCGAATGCACCGCCAAATCCACACTCCGCACACGACAACCGCCCAAAGTACTGAAGGGCCGCCGCCTGCGCGCTGCCGCGCCCATGAGTGGCTGTGCTCGAGCAGCCTCGCACGAGTGACCATCCATCAGGCACTTTCAGCACTCGCCATTCCAAGCGTTGGGCGGCCCCATCTGCCATTCGTCGCGTCCCCACAGGTGTTGACGTTAGTCTTGAGACTCATGCTTTGCGAGGACGCGGGCGGCCAGGCAGGCCGCGGGGGCCGCGGGCGATTACCACCCCCCCACGGCCGCTCGCAAAGTACTGGCCCACACGCGGAGCCGCCCCGAGACGAGTACGGCGCCCCCCCGCGGCAAATCCCAAGTAATCCGGCCGCCCACTTGGCCTCCCGCCTCACTCCCGCTCGAGGCGCCGACGGTTGCCAAAGTCTCGACGAGGCGCGACAAGATAAACCGGGAAGGCCTCTGCCAGCCTCCGCCACGGACGGCCAGAAAAATTGCACCGCGGATCGCGCAAAATGGCCCAAACCGCAATCCGCGAGCAGAGTGCAAGATTTGGCGATTGCCATGCGCCCCAGGCCAGCCGGGGCGCTCCTTGGCGCCGGGCGGGCGTCCTGCTCGCCGGCATCTGCCCCGCGCGACCCGAGGGGCCCGGGGGGCAACCGCGGCGGGCGTCCTGGATGGAGCAGCGATCGGCGGGGGCGATCCCCACTCGCCGAAAACTGCGTCACGAAAACTGTTCTCACCAGCGGTCCCCTCGGCGCCTGGCCGATAGCCACCGCTCCCAGGATCACCCACAGGGATCCGCGGAGCCGCGAGGCCTGCCCGTTACCGCTGGCACCAGGCCGCGATCCGTCAGCATCATGAATAACTCACAGCCCGACACCGTCAAAGAGGACCAGCTTTGACCACCACAGATGTCAACGCTCCCAGCCTTTCCCCCCTCGCCCCCCCCCCCGTCCCCGGGGTCCCTCCCGCACCAGCATTCGCCCGCAGGGCCCCGCGGGGCCGCAGTCCAGGTCCTCCTGGTGCCGGGTGTCGATGCAGGCCGTCTCCGGAAAAAAATCCCCGCAGTCGTGGAACGAGCACGTGCAGCCCGCCACCTCCCCGGCCCCCGCATCTGCGTAGTACCTGTTCACCAGCTCGCGCGCCACCACCCGCACCATCGCCCCGTACTTCTCGGCGATCGCCCCTGGCCCGCCCTCAGCCCCCCCCACGGCCAGCAGCATGGATGCGATCACGGCGGCAGCGAGCAGGCGCCGCGCGTCCCCCTCGGATGCCATGGGGGGCCCGGCGGCCTTCGCAACGGGAGTGCAGCGCCCGTGTCACGCCCTCGTCTTTGTGGCGCCTTTCGACCCGCTGGGGTAGCCCTCACCCGCCCCGTCGCACTGCGGGCCCCTTTCCCGTGGCCGCCTGATTTGATTGGGGACGGGATGGCGGCTGACGATGCCGTAACCCGACCGACAGATGTAGTTTTGACGCACCGCGGGGGACGTCACAGGAATGGGTCAGGCCGCGGGGGGCAAGGGAGCGCCGGCGAGTCGGACTGCAGCGCCTGGGGAGCATTCACGCGAGTCAGGGGCAGTCTGGGGCGCCATACATTGTGGACGATGAGCCCTGCGATTTGGGTGACTTGCTGCAGGCGGCGGCCTCCTGGCGGCCTGCAGGCCGCCTGCAGGCCGCCTGCAGGCCGCGCGTAGCATGCAGCTGGGCGGTCACGGGCCGCGCCCATGTCGTACTCGTCGAGTACGGGGTTTAAGTAGGGGCGCGGAGGCGACACGGGGGGCGCACGGGGGCGACGGTTGGCGAGGCAGGTTGGCTACAACGCGCATGGAACTGCGCAAGAAGTACCGCCCGAGAGCAATAGCGAGGTTGGCGACCTGGGATGCTGCGGCGGCGGCGGGCATCCGAGCGGCAGGTCGCGTGGCCAGGGGCGCAGCAGGGTGGGCGGCCCCGGCGCGAGGCAGAGCCCCATTGTGCGGGGCGGGATGGGTGCATGTCGCGGATCCCGTCAACCGTGGAATGGATTCATGTGGCTGGGTTGTAGTTTTGACCCGGTTGGCTCGAACCCAGTTCCCTGCGCTGTCGGCGAGGAGCCGGCTGGCGAGAACCCCCACAAAAGGGATTCCACTGGGAGGCCGCGCCCATGTCCGTTGCACCACATGTGCTTACGAGCCAGCGGGGGGCCTTTTTGTGAGCGCGCAATGTCCGAGGAATGGTCAAATCGGCAAGGCCCATCCTCACCCACGTCCGGAGCGCTGGAGTAGCCGTTGCCCACCACCACCTGCGCCCTGAGCAACAGAACCCACCCAACCGGTCAAGGAAAGCTCGCTGGGGAGCAGGGCGCTGACGCCAGCCGAACGAAGAACCAGGATTTGTCAGCCGGCTGGGAATTGTAAAGCGTTCCTATCCCTGCTTTTCCCTGTCAGATGCTTTTCGACGCTTGGATTTCCGCACCATCTTCACATGCCCTGTTTTCTTAGGTTGTCTACGGGTCGGAGGCCGCAGCGGCTGTGTACTGCACGTCGTTTGGCGATGGGCAGTCAGAAAGCGGAGGTCATTGCTGGAACAACAGCTGTTGACCCCTCGATGCGATTTTCTGAAGCTGAACAATGCGCTCAGGTTGCCCTGGATTGGTACTGCCGGGCTGCGCCGGAATGACTCCACCGCCAAGCCTGTTTCCAGCGCTGGGATACACCGAGGAGCAGACAAAAGGAAGGAGCAGGGAACAGCAGTTGGGCGTGACAGCCAGAGGGTAGCCATACATGCTTCAACACTGCCAGACCCGTTCCACAATGTGACCCGTTATCCTGTTATGACTACAGTGCTGGGTCATCCTGATGGTAACCTAAGAAAGAAGGCCCTTGCACCACCTCACAATACAAGGAAATGCTCCTTTCTCTTGTCTATCTAGGAGCAATGATTGTACGGAGTAATCCATGTCTGTACTCCAAGATTCAGTTGCAAAAGATCCACTGTAGCAGGAAAGAACGTGTCACACACTGAGCCAACCCTTTCTTTAACGACAAGATGGCAAAACGCCGTTGCATTTTATGAAATGACCTGCAGAGGATCACTTTGCAAAGGAGCCAACATTACTGCACTTGATTCGCACCTCTGGCAACTCGAAAACAAAATGTGCAGCCGGGAGCTCATTTTCTGCCATCCCGCCCACTCCCCAACATCACCAACCACTGGGTGTAGTTCCTGCCCTGTCCAGCAGTATTGAAGTTGCAGCAGTGCTGCTGCAGTTCTGGTGATGCTGCTTCGAAAGGACACTAGTTGTGTCGTTGACTATCACTTGTGGTGCTGCCTTGAAACAACATCCAGCTGCAAAGGTTGAAACGAACGGCACACTTCCATGTCAAGTTGCTGTTGTGTATCTGCACCTGCCCCAGTTGGTTCAAAGTCCACACCATCATCTTTGGATGTCAATAAACTAACTATGAAATCGTCACACAATCGATCTTTAGGGTGAATTGGAAGATCTTATCAGTCTTTGACAGGGCCGCCGGAATGGAACCAGCACAAACTGCCACACCTCAGGTACCATCAGGTGGATGCCTGCCCTTGGTAGAGTCTCATCAGATCTCCTCCTAGAGTCTGTTGTTCATCCAGCCTGAAGATGCCGTCCAGCAACCCCTCTACCAGCATGTGTTCGGGGCGATCCCAGTGCAGGTGGTTCTCACAGTGAGAGACCATTGCCCACAGCCTGCTTCAGCCATACCCTCTCCACGACCTCGTCCACCAGGTGCAGGTCCTCAGTCGTGCTCATCAACATCACCAAAACTGGACTCATCAATCTTCTCTGCAGAGAAATGGGGCTGTGCCTCCAGCCCCGGGCCTGCTGTCACCAGAAATCCCTCTTCACACATTCCGGAACCATGCACTCTGGAGCTATGCACCTGCAGGCCCTGGCCAGGCTCACTCACGAGTACGACGCCAGCCTCATCTTTGACCACATACTCTCTGCCAGGTTGGGCATTCAAACACATGGCCCAACAGTACGTTGCCACGCTTTCTGCCGCAGTGCGTCATGTACTCGTGCAACAGGTTTGTACCCTGACCCCGCCCAGGCCATTGTCGAGATCACCAGGCAAGTCAGCCTTGGTCCGGCCCTGGACATCCTGCGCCCAGGCATAACCCGGTCGTTTATGATGGCCAAGAGCTCCTCTAGTCAAGGGACTATGATCGTGGTCCAGGCGTCCTCCTATCACCTCAACATGACGTTGGGGTGTTAAGAAATCGCTGACAAGATTTGAAATCTTTCCTGATCGTCGGGTAGCCCTTTCGCTTCGCAGCCCTCGGGCCTACTTAATCACAACTTTAATGGAAGGCACGAGTCCAGTGAGCCCCGATGCCCTCCCTGACGATGCCTTGACCGCTGCTGGCCATGGCCTGCCATTCCTCCAAGGGAACCACGAATTTCATGCCCCAAAATGGGCGCTTTCCACCTCCTGTCCAGAGATGGTTCCCATTCGTGATCACGACCACACCATCATGGCGGTGGATAGATGCCACAAGGAGTCATGCATGTGCTACCTTTGTGTTCTCCCCGCTGGTGGCGCTGTCCCAGCTGCCGCTGCCACTGCTCGCGTCACAGCCACTGGCGGCGTTCTGAGAATTAGGGGGCATTACATGCGTGGCGGTCACTGGCAACAACCCCTGACCCTGCGTGTGGCACAATGGCCCCAGGACGTCCGTCCAAGCCCGTCGCCTTCGTCGACTGCTCCCTCGAGCAGTGGTCTATTGATGACGAATGATCTATTTTTAGAGGCTCCCCGAGACCCCACTTCCCGATGCTGGCCACCGACACGAAGACGGAGAAGTAGGCGGAGACGGGTTGGGATTGGGCAGCCACGCGTTTGGTTTTTAGTTTTTTAGGGTGTTTTTTTTGTTTAGGGTTAGGGTATGAAAAGCAGGGTGTCCGTCACGGTGTACATACCAGCAGTCTGTATCGGGAACACCCTCCACTCCCCATTGCGATTCGAACCTGTTGTGCCCCCTTTAGAAGGCTCGAAGGAGCTTCTCACTCTTGAAACTGAATGGAAACGACAGTGTTGCTGCCCCAGGGTGGTGCTTTCGGCGTCGAGCCTCCTGGTTGGGCAGCGCGCCTGGGCGCGGATTGCGAGGCCGTCTGCCGCGGCCTCCAAATGGAAAACCAGCCCCAAACTCTGGTGGGTCCAACGCCTGAGCCGTGGCGCGCAGACGGGCGGTGCACGACTCGCCACACAACCGTGCTCCCCGATGCCCATCTGCTTCTCTAAACCTGCCGCCCCCTTTGAATTGCGATTCTCAGAAAAACTGCCCGGTTGCGTACGTGTCGATTGTAATTCTCCCCACCCGTCCGCGGTCCCGTATTCTGATGGGGTGTGGACCGTCGACCGGGTCACGCGCCGCGCAGCCAGACTCAGGAATCCTGAAAGGGACCGAAAGCAAAGATACCAAAGGATCCAGGCAGAACTCAGAGATCCAGGCAGGGAAAATTGAAACATGGCGGACGCCTCCGCAGCGGTGTCTTGCTGTTTTTGGCTGTTCGCCGATCACGGACTCACCCCCTGGGCACCTCCAGGGTATCTGGCTATTTTTGCTGACGATGTGTCCCTGCTGACCAGAGCCGGGCCAAGCGCCGGGGAGCGACGCGCAGATGGCGGATCGTGCGATCCTGGGCTGCGCGGCTGGAACAGCTGCGGTGTTTGGTGGCACCGGCCAGAGCAGCCGAACGGGAGCTGGCCCATTGCAGTTTGGAGCCTCGAAGCACGGTGAGCTGGATGTGCTGCCAGCTGCAATGCCATTTGACACTTGCCGGTGCTATCACAGCTGCTTTTATGCCATCGCAATCACTGTGATGACGTTCGTTTCCGCCCAAAACTGGCATTGCCGATGGCATTTCAAATTGCTGTTTTCTGCTGGTGGAGCCAGCGCGGTCGGCCAACCAATGGCTAGTCTTTTTTCTCCGCATCTGCCGCCCCGCATGGCCCAAGCCCAGAAATGCTATCCGTTCATGTGCACACTGAATGCAGCAGTCTTTGGCCTTCCATTGTCATGAGGTCAGTGCAATTCATGAGGTCAATGTACATTTTCTGGATGAGATGCTCCCCACCATAAGTCGCATCCAGCAGTGTCAGTAGTGTGCAGCGAATTTGGGCCAGTGCCGCAGGCTGGGAATGGCTGGAGAAAAAAGAGAGTGAAATGTAAATAACACAACACCAGAATTTCCCCTGCCTGCTAAATTTCTTTGTTTAGAATTGCCTGTGAAGCAGAGTGGCACTGTCCAAACCATCTAGGTTGCCTGGTCTTCGCTTTGTTTGCTATGATCGTGCACAACTCCTCTCAGAAGCATTTGGGTAAGATCTGTTACATAACAGAACGAGGTGGCATGAATCATGGATGTCCTCCACCTTTAGGGATGAGACTAGTGGAAGCAGTGGAGAGGTGTCTGAGATCTGCTGAAGCGTTGTTGTGGTGACCAGGCTTACGCAGAGCAGTGGGGAGCGAGGTACAATCAGCAGATCGTGCATTTTTTGGCCACCCAGCTAGAAAAACTGCGGGGCATTGAGACGCCAGCCGGAGTAACTGAACAGGAACTGGCTCATTTCAACTTGCAATTAGAAAAGGGGGAGATGCTGCTTGAGAAACTTGCCGCCCCATTTGATGTCAAGACCTTCTACAGGACTGAAGATGCATGTGCGGCTGTGCAGAGGACTTGCAGATGCTTGAGGGAACTTGTCAGGGGTTGGGGTATGTGGGCAGTCACTCCGGTCAGCATACCTGACAGGTGTGTGGAGAAAGATGAAGAGCACCTCAGCAGGCTTCTCAATTACGTATTGAGAGGTGTGCATTGTGGCACCAAGGATGAACTGGGGCAGTGGTGGCGTGCAGCCAGGCATCGGCATTCAGAAAACATGAAACAGGTGCAGATTGTTGATGAAGATGAACTCGAAATGGGAGCGAGGTTGGGCAAAAGTGGCCAGGGGGTGGTTTTCAAAGCCATGTGGCGATCGACAAAGGTGGCCGTGAAGAAGTCCACAAGAGAGGGCAAAGAGGAATGTTTGCCTATCGATGATTTTGCCGAGGTTCTCAAAGAGGTCATGGTGCATGCTGCTCTCAGTTCCCACCGATGCATTGTTCGTCTGCTTGCAACAACTGTGTCGGGCTGGATAGTGATGGAGCAGGCTGATGCTGACCTACATACACTGTGCCACACCTCGAAGGGGCTGAGTTGGGGATCCATGGCAAGACTGCTGCAGCAGGGGGCTGAGAGTTTGGCATACATCCACGCTCAAAACCGAGTACATGCCAACGTCAAGCCTCAGAATTTTCTAGTTTTCGGGACACATCCAGAAAGCTGTAGCTTGAAAATATGTGACTTCAAAAACTCTTGTGAACAGGGCCGTGCAAGAAGCAAGACAGCGGCGGTTGACAGAGCAATGCAGCAATGGATGGCCCCAGAGTGTTGTGACGATCATCTCTTCAGCCAGGCGTCGGATGTTTATAGCTTTGGCATAGTGTGCTATGAATTATTGACCCAGGTCTTCCCATTGAGTGCAAATGCGAGTACCCAAGGTGGTGTCATGGCAGGAAACCTGCCTGGGACAGAACCGTGGCTGGTGTACCGACATCAGTGTCCTCCAGAAGCTCTACAGCTCATGAATAGCTGTTGTGCTGACAATCCCAAAGAACGGCCAACCATGGAGGAGGTCAGCAACATCTTGCGCAAGCTGTCGGAAGAATGGAATCCAGCTGAAGGAATGGGTGTGAAGGCAAGGCAAGTTAACTTACTTGTGCATTTGTGTGCAGGGCTCTGTGCTGGACGCATTCATGCCAGCACAGTGAATTTCATTGATTGGCACTGGAGTCTCAGCACAATGTCTGCTGAGGTGTGCAAGGCAGTTTCCCTTTCACAAATAAAACGTTGCTGCTGACATTTTCAATTCGCATTTTTTATGCAGCCAATTACATGCGAGCAACACTTTGATGGCGTTCGGAGAGGGGCTGGCATGCAAGGAAGGCTTGCCAGGTCCAGCAGCCAAAGGCGTTGAATTTGTGCCCTCAACTTCTGTTAGGTGCTCCCTGAGGTCTTGGTGCTGTCCGATAACAGACATCGACAACGTCTCCATTGTGAGAAACGGCACAGAGATTCAGACCGCACATTTTGTCATCCAGGAAGGCGCGTGGATCGATGACTATGGATGCGAGCACAAGGTGGCTGTCAAGTTGGCAAAGAAGGTGATGACACAGCGGGCCAAGATGAAGGTGATCATGAAGCAGCTGGAAATCTTGACAAGTGTGCCACCCCATTCCAGCATCGTGAAGTTGGTGGGTGCGAGGCTCAATGGAGACCCGATGATCGTGGAGGAATGGGTGCCAAGCAACTTAGAAGTACAGATCAGGAGCCAGGCCTTGACATACAATCAGATCCTAAGGATCGGCCGGGGTGTGGCCTGGGGCCTGGATCACCTGCACAGGCATGGTGTCACACATCATGACATCAAGCCAGCAAATATCCTGCTGGACAGCAATGGAGGGGTCAAGTTGTCAGGCTTCATGTGCTCCAGGTGTGTTTAATCGTTGCAAGGTAATTGTCAAATGGATTGTTACAGTATAGTGCATGTTTGTGCACGGGCAGGCTGCACTCCTACACTGTGGCATCGCCTCATTGCCCCAACTTGTCCTCACTCTTCCTGTTCTTCTGCTTGATATTACTTCTGAATTATGATTATAATTATTCTGAATATTACTTCTGCTTGATATTGCTTGATATTATTTGCCTTCCTGAATTTTAACTCCCAAGGCTGGGAATAGATAGGGAGGAAATTTTGTTTGGTTTTTCTATCCGATCATGTCCATTTGACAAGGTGCATCTCAGTACTGAATCAGGGCTAGTGCTCGCCCCGTTATTGCCCAAAACTTTCTGCAGCCGAGCTTGAACCGGGATCATGCCCGTCAACCACGTGCCACCCCATCCCCCGCCTGACACACATTCCTTGTGGCAAACGCTTTTGCATCTCCAAACACAGCAAGGTTCAATTCTCCAGGTTCAGCCCGACGTCAGCATCTCTGGCCAGCAGCTCGGCGAGCTTCGTCGGGACGCTGGGCTACATGGCGCCGGAGTGCCTCCTCCAAGGTTTCCTCAACGTTCAAATGCCCGCCCCTGGCGAGGGCTGCGCACGCCACTCGGCGGAGAGGATCGACGTCTACAGCCTGGGCAAGGTCATGCTGCGCTGCGTGACTGGGAGCCTGGTCCTGCAAGAGGACAACCCAGAGGCCGAGTGCCTCTGTCCTGACCTGTGGGTGCTCATCCGCATGTGCACGTGCGCCAATCCGGCAGGGCGGCCCATCTGCGAGCAGGTCGTGGGGATGCTGGAGGCGATGTTGGAGGAGCCAGCCGCAGGCTGGGGCGACTGGAGGCTGAGGAAGCCGAAGGATGAGCTTTGGGCGGCGTCTGACGACGATTCGGTGGATTGGTATGACCTGTAACGCGCAGCCGGATTGCAGCGCTCGTGCGCTTCTAGTGCATGACGCAGGAGAACAAATTAGTTCCACTGTCCTCCGCGAGGATCCTTCTTCTTTCGCTAACAAGGCCAATGTAGGCCGGTGAGTCAGTGGTTCAGGGTTAAGGGTGTCGAAAGAAGAGACAGAGCGACTGATTTCATGACATGACACAGTGTGGTAAATGTGACGACGCGGTGGCGTCTGGGGAGCAGCATGGCCACCAAAGGCGTTGGCGCAGAAGCTCAAGCTAGCGGTCGTCATGAATCGGCATGCTGTTGTGATTCGACGCCAACTGTCGTTTCCTCAAGTTCGAACGCGCGTTTGAATTCCTGGACCACTTACCTGAGCACCACATCGCGCATTACGGCATTGAGCCCTCCAGAATCCCACCGGACAGGGCCTGGAATGCGAAACGGACGGATTTTTTGTGTTTCGAGCCAAAACTGACTTCCAGCACTTCATCCACCCTCCATGGCACCCTGGGATACGTTGCAGAGAGTCTGGACAAGGGTCTACACTCACTCAAAGGGGAGTGAGCCCAGAACCTACTTTCGTGCAGGCTTGTCATTTACGTTTGTCGCACCACTTTTCGTTTGCGCTCCTACACACAGTCTACGTCGAACGCGTCTACATAGAAACGGCCATGTTTGCCCATTTGTACAGCTCGCCGACACCACCAGGTTACGTGATGATGTCCCCAGCAAGGATTAATCCTCCACCCCTTTGAGCACCGGCAACATAGCGTCCACCTCGCCCTCGGGAAGGGCAACGTCGCCGCCGAACAGAAGGTCGTTTTCTGCACACCTCAGCGCCTCTAGTGGCCACTCCCCGGAATCCTTGAGTCAGTACGTATTGTCTTTAAATGCCATTTTGCGGATTTTGGGCCTAACTAGTTTTATGCGTAAATAGGTGCAAATACACAAGGGTTTACGCCACAATAGACAAGCTTGTTTGAGACGAGAAGATCGACGTGTGCAGCTTCAGAAAGTGATACTGGAGTGTCACTGGCGGCCTTAGCCACAAGCACTAGCAAAAAAAGGACCAAATAAAACTTTTTGCGAACACATATGTATGCAATTTATCAGTGTTCTGCAGACTAAAAACACGAAAATACCCTGAACACTTGTTATTTAGCCCATTTTTCCTAGTGAAGGATGGCCACTGGTGCGGCCGTGTCCAGCGCAATTCAATTTTCCCCCAAGTAATTGCTCATCAATCAGATGCAATGAGGCATTTGTACGCAGTAAATCAAAACGCATGATAATGGGGTATCGCGTGTCCTTTTCGGCTGCATGTTCATGCTTGAGTCTAGGTTTTAAAGTGTATTACACTGAAATGCGATGATCACTTTTTGCAGAGAAGCGGCGAATCCACTTCTCAGATTGTGTCGCTGAGCCTTGCGATCGCTCTCACCGGAACAATCTTAATGGTTTTCACCGCCATGTTGTTACAGAAGCGAAGTATTGTTACGCAAGGCTCGGAGTGGGACTATATCGGAGGCAGGCACAGCCACGGGCTTGGGGACACAGCTGAGGGTACAGAGTTACAGATAGGTCACAGACAGGCATGTCCCTTTATAGTCATACAACCATCTCTCAACGACGGACGAGTCATTGTCATATCATTCGCCCCCAACACACATAGAACGTCGCCCTCGACGTGTAATCACCTCAACCAAACGAACCAAGGGAACCAGGAAACTGGTAGAAACCATCATCAAGAAGTCATTCAAAACTTCAGACACTTGGCCAGCCGTCATGTGCGGGGGCCTTGAACACGAACACAAACCCATCACAAAGGAACATATCGAGAATCAGAGCATCAGCTCAAGAATCCATCAAACACTTGGCCAGCCGTCATGCGGGGCCTTGAACACGAACACGAAAACCGGTCTCAAAGAAACACATCAAGAGCCAGAGCATCGGCTCAAGAATCCATGGAAAGAAATCAGATTCGGAAAGGAACCATCAAACTCAAGAGCAACACGTCTTGGCGAACCTCGCCACCTCCATGGGGCATCTCAACAACTCGACCTAAGCTGACCCATCGGCGCTCGGTGTGCGCCCCCAACAACAGCGACAATGCCATGCCCAGTGCATCGGAATTGCTACGTGGGCTTCGCTCATGCTCTGCCACGTACTCGCTTAACATTGTGGTAACCCCCGACCCCGTACCAGTGTGACGGGTCTCCATGTAGGACCACACTGTCAGCTGGCACGAGCTGACACGAGCTGCCGTCCTGCTGACTCTTCATCACGCAACCCTTGCTGCGGGGCCGTGCGTGCTGTGTGCCAAGCACGTGATCTCTCAAACACAGCCATCCACTCAAGTTACCACTTCCGACCAATGGCGTGGCTCACACTCGCCCATCACCGCTCAGTGGTGCCGTGTTGGCCTCCATCGCAACTCTGCCATCGTAACTCCAGCGAACGCACAGCCGCGGCGTTGACAGAACTGACCCGCGCGTCGTCCACCGCCCTCAATCATGCCTTCGTTGCGCTCGCCTCAGCTCTCGCGCGACCGCTCCATGTCCATCGCTGGACGCTATTCATCACGTCGCCACTCCCACGCACCACAGCATGAGGCGGCACAATGCTCGCGCACGTCTCGGCGTCATACCATGCCACGCAGCTGCATAGTCCTGCAATCCCACCCCTGCCTCGGGTGCCACATGGTACGCAAGGCTCGGAGTGGGACTATATCGGAGGCAGGCACAGCCACGGGCTTGGGGACACAGCTGAGGGTACAGAGTTACAGATAGGTCACAGACAGGCATGTCCCTTTATAGTCATACAACCATCTCTCAACGACGGACGAGTCATTGTCATATCAGTATCTTGAGTCAGTTAAGGCAATAATGGGCAGATTCGCAAGGTGTGCACTCAAGTACACCGCCTGGGAAATGTAGCTGCTCTGTTTTGCGATCCATTTGTTGATTTACGCAGGAAACATGTTCCAGCATGGGCTTGCTTACGTAAACCACATTCGTTTCTGATCAAGATCACAGTCGCCATCGCGGTCAGTCCACTGAATGTCGCCTTCACAAAAGCATGTGCTCAATATACATTCCAATTCTTTTCATGTTGTTTCCAAAGTCCACACAGATGTGCAATAGTTTCAGTTGTCAAAACGCCGATTTTCTGGAAAGGCTCTGCCTCCGCTGACGTCGGCAGGGGGCCCGACCTCCCTGCCGACGCCATCAGCTCCAGGTTGGTGGGTGAGGGTGGGTGGGGGGGCAGTTGGAGCATTGGCAGGAATCCCATCCCGGCGGTATCAATACCCCCTTCCCCACTGCCCTTCCCATTATCGGTAGCGAATGTCCTCAATGGATTCGCCTGGGTTTGTGTTGCTACGAGCACGGCAGCCTGCAGCAATCGATCGATAGCTGGCTTCACTGGCGGAAAGAGCAACGCAGCGCCGCAAAAAGCTTTTGAAGTGCATGGGTGCATACAGGATTGCATTTTAGGAAATCTTTATTTCGGTGGATCCATCACCGAATTGGGCTGCGCAGCACCACTGGCAAACGCCAGCGTGAGAGAGTTTTCCAGCGCTCCAAATTTCACAGAGCAGATGCTGCGACAATGGAGGAAGCGCCGGGGTAATGTATCCCAAAACGCCACTACGCAATGAACCTCTTTGGGGAGAAGTGGTTTTAGGCTCAGTGCCTTACACGTACTGGCACCGTTTTTCCTGCAAGGGCGCTAAATTGCAGCAGGCTCTCAACTCCACTGAGAGTTCCGGACATGCAAGCGAGGTGATGCAGGCAGAAGATTTGCGAAGACGCCGTTGAATGACCCGTTTGAAAAAAAAAACTGCCCGAACAACACCCTTTCCAGGGGTTCCATGATGCTCCCACAAGCACACTGGCTCCATATCAGTCCTAAAATCTCCGAAATAGAAAAGGTCAGTCAGAAAATGTAAAAGCCTCTTAGCCGGACATTGCTGCAGGGAAGAACAGTGCTGTGATGCCCACCGACTGCCCAACATACGTCGCCGCTTTCGCGCTGAGAGAAAATTCTCGCGGTGCACGAAGTTTACCGGCGAGCTGCTTCACAGCGAATCTCGGTCAGAAACGCTCGCTTGTGCACCAAAGTTGGCATTCAGCAGGCAGGTGTCTGGCACTTGAGCCCTTCTGCAGTCTGTTTATTTAAGTTGACAATTTAAGCGCAATGTGTTGGTGGCCATAAATTGCGTAATACTGCGCAGCTAGTTAGAGATTGCTCTTGACGTGCGGCGCGCTTGCATGGGATGCTGGTTGCGCAGTGTCCAACGTGGTGATTGCTTACTGTTGGTGAGATATTTTTCCCTGCTCTGGCGCTGTCGAAGATATGGAGCGCACATTTGTCTCGATATGGAAGGCTACCTGTATTCCATGCAACATCAACAGCTGATGTACACAGGAGACACATTCCCGCATGCAGTTTTGTACGTCATTACGTAAGCATTCATGAGAGTCTAATAAAAATCGTGGTCAGTACCAGGCTTGGTTTACACATTTACGTTGACTTTGTACTTTTATGTTTTTACGCGTTAAAACGTAAATTGCAAAAGAGCCTATTCTTGCTGCTATTTTGGCGTGTTTGCCGCTCCATGGGACACCCAGATTACAACAGGCTTGTTATTTGCATTTCGCGTTTACGTTTTTACGCGTGCAAAACGTCAATTTGCCAAAGGGGCTATTTTTACGCCTGTATTTACGTTTTAACGGCTCGTTGTGACACCGAGAAAACACGATAAAAATCGCGCACATTGATCAGTCCTCCACCTCCTCGAGTACCCGCAACACAGCGTCGAATTCGCACTCGGTAAGGGTCATGACGGCATGGAAGAAAAGTTCGTTTTCTGCCCATTATAGCGCGTCTGGCTGCTACTCCCCGGACACCCGAAGGCTATGTGTACTGTCCTTATGTACAAGAGGCTGCATATACGTTGTATTTACGTACTTTTACGCGCAAAAACGTAAATACTATTTTTGCGCGTAAAAA